AAACCTCTGTCCTGGGAAGAACCAGCAAGAAACCCAGCGGGACTTTTCTTTAAATAACAGCTTACAATCATGTATATTACACAAATTAACATCACAACATATTAGAAATAGCTTGGTAGCGATCACCTCATTTCCAGGGGTTATTATCATCCATAAATTTTTTATTATTATAAAAACCCTTTTTATACAAACATAGTTTAATAAAGTTTTTGAACTTTGAGCATGTCAAATTTTGTATATTTTCTGGAATTTTGTTGTAAAAGCGTATACTCGTACATCGCCCCAAGAATGAATTACTGATTCGGTGGAGTCAAGTAACTGGTACTACTAGCTTGTGTCTGTTCCTAGTATTTACAGAATGAATATCAGTTATTTTTGTAAAACTACTTTTATTTTTGTACATTACATTACATTTTCATAAATGTATTGAGGCCAAAGTTAATATTTTAATTTCCTTAAATTTTTGTCGCAGCGACTCTTTAGGCTTTAAATCATAAATTGCTCCTATTGCCCTCTTCTGTAAAACAAATGCCATTAAAAACATTACTTGTAAAAAAAACCAAGTCTCGCAACTCAGTTCTTCTACCGTAAAAAGTTGAAAGATCCACGTAGTACCAAGTCGGTTAATTTATTCAGTCCCTACTTAAGGCTCCATCTGTCTTAAGTTATTACGTAATTAGCTAACTTAACAACATCTTATAGTGACCATATCAATATGAAAAATCATTTATGTTTTAAATAAATAGATTGACTTGGCCATCGCATGAAAATACAATATATTTGTCAAGTAATGCTTACTATACTTACTTAATATAGATTGTTTAGTGCGATTGCCAAGTCAATTTATTTATTTTAAACATAAAAGATTTTTATAAAAGTTTTTTTTACAAGTTATGTTTTTAATGACATCTCATTTCTTTTTGTAGATAGTTATATCTACGTACCTATCTACACCTATTATTTATACATAATATATAGGTACACCGATTCATTCACTGCAAATGTAACTTTGTAATCCTATATATTTATATGGGATTACAAAGTTATTTATGCAGTTGGTGTATTATTATAAAACTGGACCGAAATTGTAAAATATTTTAATTTTTCCTTGATTGATATACTAAACAATAATTGATTTCCAAATTTGAAGCTTCTATGTCTGCTAGAAGTGCCTTAGAGTTTTGATGATCGGTCAGTCAGTGAGTGACAAAATTAAGAAATTTTAACTAGGTATAATTCTTAAACTACTGGTTCAAATTGAATAAAATTTGAAATATAAAGAGTTTATACAATGCCTACTTGGTTATTGAAAATTCAGGCGTCTAGTTTTATCCACATCGAAGTTATAGGGTTTCTAATATGGCCTGAACTGCTTCGAGAAAAGGATGGTACGGTCGTGCCGCTTTTTTGCTCGACTTGGCGGGGGCACTGCCGTGCCCCTAGATATAATTTCAGTGTCAGCTGCGTGTGCCCATAGTAAAATACCATACGACATTATGCTATGAAAATAGCGAAAGTAAACTAGTCTCTACAGCAAATGGCGCGCATGCGCGTAGATATAGAGTAGCGCACATTTTTTGTTTGAAATAGCTTCTCTAGTACGTAGTACATTATAACTCATTGCCCACAGACTATGGAGGTACCTGAATCTAGCCCCACGTGGATTTTTTATTTTAATTAATTGTTCGTGGTTTGTTTGTTAATGTTCAAACATAAAAATGGTTTATTTGTATTTTAATTAATTATAATTGATTAAACAAATTTCATTCTTAGGTTGGTCAATGAATTAAATGGGTAATTATTTAATATTTTTAAGTAGTCGACGGAGCTCCGTGGGACTCCTATTACTGGGTGGTTTATAAAAAAATAACCACGAAGTGGATATCGAGATCTGTTCGCACGCTCACTTAATTCAACTCAATGAACTTAGCTCCGACCGCATGGACAGTTTCCACATGCTTGTCATTCATATCGTCCACTTCATTGCAATCTTCTATTCACTGAAAACGATTTTGTTACTCAAGCTGAAAGTTTTCGGGGCTTTGGATTCGAGCACGAGGGGGACAGAGCGTTGACTTCATTAGACGAGAACTCTCCCACTTAACTTTCACTTGCGTAATTTATTTTTAAGTACAATTTTTCTTGGACTATCAAAAATTGAATTAGAACTGCTTACTGATTCAGACAACGGATCTTATACCTACTTCCTGTTCACAACATTTTGTTGGCTGAAAAAAAGATACTAGTTATTTGGGAAGCAAGACTCGCGCGCCGAAGATTCCGCCTCTCTTAAGTCCCGTAAATATACTGAACATTACAAAACAATCGTTAGTATATATAAATAATGTAAATACGTTATCACAAGTCCGCAGTAGAATCAGAGTAACTGACATAGCCCAAAGAATAAGTATGCCGAAATGGCAATGGGTCGGCCATATAGCTCGAAGAACCGACAACCGATAGGGAAGAAAGGTTCTCGAGTTGCAGCCTCCTACCGGCAGGCGAAGTGTAGGGCGTCCCCCCCCCCCCCCCAGATGGAGTGACGACCTGATAAGACATGCAGGAAGTCAGTGGATGCAGGTGGTATTTCTTGGGGAGGCTTATGTTCAGCAGTGGACTTGTGAAGGGCTGTAATAATGATGATCATGTTACTACAGATTTCTTTAAGTACACTCTTTCTGCTTTTGTGGTGTATTTGTCGTTATCTTTTAAATGCACGTAACGTATTCTTGAATAATCTGACGGTAAACATGTTTCTTCGCTGCAATGCTTCTGAACAAATTTGATCTATGATGCTTTTGTTTCATGACACGGCTGAGGAAATATTAATTTTAATGCATTAACATTTCTCACCGTGATTATATATTAATACTTTACTGGTAATAATTAATAACATTTTTAATACGTCGATATTGTCAAGTTTGCGCATAAAAATGTTTTGATCTTTGACATTCACGTATACGTTGCAGTTGATACAATATAATTAAATTAAGCGTGTTTTAAAGATAATAATACGTTGAACTTACTAGTGAAAAGTCACTCTTTGACTTTTACTTATGTTTCTCGAGTTGTTTGAACAGTATCTCAATGCTTATAAAGGCATAATTAATTAAAAAAATTCATCACTCAAGCATATCACGTTGCAGCAACCGCTTGACACAGACTAAGTGAGTTGGAGCGCGTGCGCTCTAATGCATGTTACAAACATTCGTGTTGAGACATCCCCTCTAGTACGTAGTACATTATAACTCAATGTCTGTCGGTACGTTATAATTTCTCTGTATGTCTATGGTTATATTTTATATTTTTTTATAGGATACGGCGGGTGACAAACGAGCACACAGTCCACCTGATCGTAAATGTTTGCTGCGGCCCATAGACATCTACATCTATCCTCTATTATAAATCAAAATGCAGATGCGTTGTCGTGACACGTGAGCACCCGTGAGGACTAAAATGGAATGCCTCATTTCACACTAAAAAGGATCTTCGGTTCTCTATACTCACCATACGAAACACAGCAGGGTTAAGCTGCTATTTTACACTGGTATTTTGTGAGAGCGTAGTCCTTCAACGGTCAAACCGACTCATTCATGCTAAAACTATACTACTTATATAGTTGCAGCATGGCTTTACCATGTAAATTTTTTTTAAAGGATTTTTGGCTTACTTCACGCCGTGTCTTCATTTATCTCGGTAATCCTATGTAATACTCGTTCACAATATGTTGATACTTCAGATTGCTCAACTCTTGTGAGATTTTTACAACAACTTGAGCCAGCAGATAGTTAGCGATAGTATCTCAAGGCGCCTTATCAGACAGACACCTTATCTTGAGATTCATATTATCATCATAGCACTTGCTTAAGCGTTTTCACTAATTGTTTACATGCGCAGACATTTAATACACAAAACCACTCCTCTGTTACATATCAAAATTCACTTCAAACCGCATCATTATTTAACTAATGGCGCATGTGAACTATTAGTGGAAACGGTGAAACAAGTGCTCTGATGGTGATGTGATTCTCAAGATAAGGTCTCTGTTTGCTTAGGCGCCTTGAGATGCTATCGCCAACTGTCAGCTGTCTGCTGGCTCAAATTACCGTCAAAACCCCCCAGCGACTGCACAATGTGACGCATCAACATATTGGGAAGCAGTGTACTATGAAGAATAATATAATTATACATTGTACTTCCAGCTTATTGGCATTCGGGGATCGCACGTTGTGGCTGTGACCTGTCGCCAAATGGCGAAATGGCGACAGGTCACAGCCACAACGTGCGATCCCCGAATGCCAATAAGGCTGAAGGGGAAAATTTACAAATCGATCATCCGACCTGTCGTCATGTATGGAAGTGAATGCTGGGCCGTCAAGAAGAAGGATGAAAATAGACTGCATGCGAATGAAATGAGAATGTTACGATGGATGTGTGGTGTGACAAGGATGGATAAGATAAGGAATGAGTATATAAGAGGAAGCCTGAAAGTAGCGCCAGTGGTAGAAAAGGTGAGAGGAAGCAGATTGGCATGGTTTGGGCATGTGATGCGGAGGAATGAAAGTCATGTCACAAAACGAGTGTTGAATATGAATGTGGAGGGACACACGGGCAGAGGAAGGCCGAATAAAAGATGGATCGATTGTGTGAAGAGTGATATGAGAATGAAAGGAGTAAGTATGGAAATGACGGCTGATAGAGAGGAATGGAACAAAAAGATTTACTGCGCCGGCCCCAGATAATGGGAAATGGTTTAGAGAATGATGATTGTACTTCCAGCTTAGAAGGGCTATAACCCAGAGCCATGAAAGCATTAATAAAAAATATATCTATGGTCTATGTGGTACGTCACGCACGTATCTTTAAATTTCAGATTCAGACAGATCATCAGTAATTCAGTAAACCAGAAAGTATTTTCATTTCTCAACTAGAGATTTCGGTTAAAACGACGAAATAATATTTCTTATTTATTTCTAATAAAACATTTAAAAATTTAAAAAATGGGACTAACTATATCAAGTGTTTTTACTAGACTTTTTGGGAAAAAACAAATGCGTATTTTAATGGGTGAGTCGTGTGACAGCTCATCGGTTTAAAGATTGCGTGGATTGTTTGTCTGCTAAAACTTACAAATAAAAAATATTACGCAAATTATTGTCAATGATTAATATCGCTATAATTTTTGTCCATAGTTGGCTTAGATGCCGCCGGGAAAACTACAATACTTTATAAGTTAAAGTTAGGTGAGATAGTCACCACTATACCAACAATAGGCTTCAATGTGGAAACAGTGGAATACAAAAACATCAGCTTTACCGTGTGGGATGTTGGCGGTCAAGACAAAATAAGACCTCTCTGGCGTCATTACTATCAAAACACGCAGGGACTTATATTCGTAGTTGATTCAAGTGACACTAAAAGAATTGTAGAGGCTGAAAATGAACTGGCTAACATGGTTTGTTCTCTTTTATATTTTATTTTATACATTGGTGGTGGTATATATATTTCATATATTTGGAAGAGCTATGTTGCAGCTATTATGGTTATAACATGAATGCTTCAACTCAACCAAGGAAAGGCATACCACACACTCACAGAATAACATCGCAAGTGTAAAGAACTGGCGACCTTTTTTAGTGGAATCAATATGTTCCATCTTAGTTCTCAGTGGTACAATACAATTGTGTTTTGATTCTTAGTTACAGATAGATGTAGATACCTGAGTGCCACAGCATCCACTGTGTGCTAGTTTGTTACCTGTACTATTAAAAAATTACTTTTTGAATTAATCTCATTAATTTTTTCTACTATAATTATTTCAGTTGAAAGAAGATGAGCTAAAAGATGCTGTTATCTTGGTATTTGCTAATAAGCAAGATATGCCAAACGCTATGACTGCAGCTGAACTAACAAATGCTTTAAATTTAAATAATTTAAGAAACCGTCGTGTGAGTATTATCCCTAAATATTATTTTATATAACTGTGTAGTGGCAGTGTAAGAATATCCACTACCCCATATATTCCTGAGGGTGCTGTAAAAGGCGACAGAGCGAAGATGAAACAGGAGATGGGCAGCAACATCTTCCTGATAACAATTTAAAAAAAACAGTTGTTAACCTGCTTCTTAAGCATGGCAATTAAAAATGTTGTAAAATCTCATGAGGCAATCTATGAGGGAGGCCTACACTCAGCATTGGGCTTTTATAGGCTGTAATGGATAGAGAGATGAATTAATTATTTTATAATTTTAGTTAATTTATATTTATTACCTTATATTTGCTCAATTATTTACAGTGGTACATTCAGGCTACTTGTGCAACTCAAGGACAAGGTCTGTATGAAGGATTAGATTGGCTCTCTAATGAATTGGCTAAAAAGTGAGAACACTCCCAACAAGTCTTTGGGAACAAGTACATGTAACATTCCCAAATCGGCTAAAACTTTTCATGATGTGAATGCAGTTCAAATTACTTGAATGCAAAAGACAATATACATTTATATTGTAATTATGTTATTGTTAATAATATATGGCTTGGTCTTTTTCTACAGAATGTTGATAGCTTGAATTTATTTCTATTTCTATGTGTTTAGTGCAATGAAAGAATATTCAGTAAATGTATTCCTATAAGAATTTATTAAAATTTGTAACATGTTTATCAATGTTGGTTTCTTAGGCTATTAGTTTTCACCAATTATTATTATTTTAACAATTATTTTATTTAAACAATTGAGTAATAATCTATAAATTAAAAACAATGAGAAATGTAAATCATACTGATTTCTATAATGTGGAAAAAGCCCCAAACATATTTTATTTAAGTGTATTATGCAAGTACTTTTGTGGGTTACATAATTCATCTATTTTGATTTTATTTGTAAGTTGAATATACATATACATATAGGTAAGAATCCCAGATTAACATATGAATGTAATACATTTTAAAGTTATGGATTAATAATTAGTATCTATTTTTCATTTTGGACATTAAAAAAGTAGTATTTATATATGAACCCTTAAATGCACAAAATTTTTAAATATTTTGAAAAAATATAATAGATTTAGGGGTACAAAACTCGGGAAAAATAATATTTTTCAAATTTTAATAAATTTATTAGTGATGCAACATATACGAATATTCATATTCGCCGAATAGTAGGCATTTACCGAATATTCGTATTTGGCGAATACTGATCACGAATATTTAAAAACTAATATTTTTGTACGCAACTCTAATTACTGGCAGACTTGGATAACGCGCGTCGTCGGCGCGTAAAAATACGTGTGTTTTGGCCTTAGCCTCAACGACTGGGACTCCCAAAAATATTTTTCACTGAAACTATGTACAGTCGCCTCGGAAAGACTTTTTTCAACGGCTGGGAACATCCAAACTGAAAAAAGAAATTGCCTAAAACCAGAAAATCTACAAATTTTATGTTTTTTAAATAAAAATTTGCCTATTGTAAATTTTAATTATTAAAACAATAGAAAATCTATATCTATACAAATAAATATAATTGAAGTGTCTGTTTGTAATGTCAAAATTACAGCTTTTTACTAAATGCATATGAAAGTATATAAGGTACTAATAACAAAAATACAATTTTTAAAGTTTTTGTCTGTCTGTCTGTTTGTTCTGGCTAATCTCCGAAACGGCTGGACCGATTTTGACGGGATTTTCACTGGCAGATAGCTGATGTTACAAGAAGTAACTTAGGCTACTTTTATTTTAGAAAAAGAATTAGGGTTTCGCACAAAAAAATTAAAACCCCAAATAACACACGGGCGAAGTCGCGGGGAACAGCTAGTCATCAAATAAATTAGTTTTTTATTACCATGGCGAGATATTCGTATTCGCCGAATAGTAGGTTTGATATTCGTATTCGTATTCGTAAAAGTAGTATTCGTTGCACTAATATTTATCTATTATTATAATATAAAAGCTGAACAGCTGAACCGATTTCGCTAATTCTTTTTTTATAATATTCCTTGAAGTACGAAGATGGTTCTTACGGTGAGAAAAATTTAAAAAATTGCCTGAAAATGTCTAAAAACTACACTTTTCTAAATTCCCATACAAAAGATTCGTAATAATACTTAAAAGTCAATTTGAACTTTAATACTGTACCATAAAGTTTAAGTGTTAGTGGAGGTGTTCCGGGAAGGCAAAACAATTGAGTGACGTTAGTATCGTATAAATATTAATGTCAATATTTATAAAATGGTAACATTACTCAAAAACAAAATTAGGGTTCCACGCAATAAAATTGATATCCATGAAATCGTGGTAAATTCCACGCGGGGCACAGCTAGTTTCTAATAAAACTTGAAGTATCAGAAACATAAACGTTTTTATTCAATATAGATTATAAATAATACTTATTGAAAGTCACTCTTTTGTTTGATTACCACTGTCATTATCATTTTTGATACTCCATGCATTTAGCTCAAAAAATTGTTAGTTTTAATTTTTATGAATGAAATGAATAGGAACAATTATTTGCCTTGTAATACAAAAACACTTTACATTTTGAACACATGATAGATGTCAATTTCTGACAATTATTATATTTGCACTTATTTTAATTAGAAGCTAAAAAGAAACATAATACAACATTCAAATGAGTAAGGAATTCTTGTATTTTTTTGGCGCACAATGCATGAACTATCAATTTCGATACCTCACAAAAATAGCAAATTGAAGTATGAAAGCCCACACAGAAGGTAAATACGCGTACTCAATAATGTGAATTGCATACTTACGATGGTCAGAAGAATTTTAGTTTAACAAAGTCTCTAAAATAGAAGTAAGTTTCACAGTGGCAGCTTTTGCTGTCGCACGGTTGGGCCGGCTCGAACCGGGGTGGTACCACGACCTTACAGAAAACCAGCGTGAAGTAGAGGTTTACCTCTGCGTTTCGCTTGGTGAGTGCAGGTGGCCGGAGGCCCTTTTTACTGGAAATGAGGCATTCCATCTTGGTCCTCACGGATGACAATGCATCTACATTTTGATTTGTGGATTTGTGTTGATTGGAGGATAGATGTAGATGTCTATGGGCCGCAGCAACCACTTACCATCAAGTGGACTGTGTGCTCGTTTGTCACCTTTATCCTATAAAAAAAAAGGTCACAACAAAAACTAAATTACGCGTGAGTACCTGTATTACGAACGTCCACTAACTTGAAAATGAAATGAGAGAAAACCATAGACTATACTATATGAATCCGAGTTTTTACTCTTTTTTTCGTTCAGAAATTAAGCCATGTACATAAATATTTTAAAAACAAACTAGCCTTACATTAATTTTGAGGCCATAACCTAAGTTAAACTGTCATTTTTGATACCGTATGCATTTAAGGACTAACGATAGAGGAAATCAAAAATATTGCTATATTATATTTTTGTCTTATACTATTCTGAAATTTAATTGCAGTGTCTGCACCCACCTTCAAAACCAACCACCCAAATATACTTTTAATAACACTTTTATAATAAGTTCAGATTCTGTTATTTTGCTGTGTTGTAAGCTTTGTGATTATATCACTATATTGCCTTTTTAATAAAGATTTATGATAATTCTGTTGAACAATGCGCCATTAATACCTAACAGTAGAGACAATAATAAAAGAAGTTTTGCATATTATGTATTACCACAGTCTAACTACTCTACTACTGACTGTTGGTCATTGAAAGAGTCCGGATGGGGCAATCGTGCGTTGCAAGACGCGGGTGGAGCGTTTTCGACCGGCCGTTACTAGGGTTGTAGTGTCACGAAAATAAATTAAAGTGATTCACACTATATGTACGAAACTGTGTTTCGTTTTTGTTTTTATTACTTCCCGTTCTGACAACCCTAGCAATTTATAGTTTGTGTCGGCTTTTCCGACAAAATCAAACGCGATGACTGCCTGTATGTTCTTCTTAGGCTGTGGTATTGCTAAACACTGATGAATTATTAATACTTTTATATATGGTCACATAAAGCTGGGAAGTGAATAAATCTCTGCTGAATGGTACTAATAATAACAAGTATGATAAAGAATGTTAGCCAAAAGCACAACTTTGCAATGTGTGTAATGAGTATTGTGTATATTATAATAATATTATGTAAAATGTCATTTTGGCCAAATTAATAATTTATTGGTATATTGTAAAGTAATTCATTGCCCTGCTTTTAAAAACTCTATTTTATACATTGGAGATGCATTAAAATGGCAAATTAAAAGCTAAGTGTAAATAAAATCTCGTTTTATTTTGTTTGCACAAAATTATCTTGTTTTAATAATATCCCAGTAGCATGTAAGCTTAAAAACTATAATTATAATTTATTTACTTTTTACTTATGACTCCAATGGGCTTTACGTTTTTCAACAAAACTTCGGATACCTTCTTGGCCATCATTCATATTAATGTTGTTGACCATTACTTCTTCACCTAATTTATATGCATCTAACAAATCAAGTTTAATTTGTTTGTAAAAGAAATGTTTTCCCAATGTTATCACTGAGCGACTCTTCTGTTTAATTTGGTCAATTATATTCAGTACTTCATCATCTAGTTTTTCAGCAGATACTACCTTAGTCACCAAGCCACTATCATAAGCTTCTTGAGCTGAAATAGGTTTACCTGTAATGTATAAGCAAAAATAAATATTGGTATTGTTTTAATAATTAACTTTTTTTATAGAAATTGGTTACAAAAAATGAGTAAACCTGTAAGTAACATATACATAGCACGTGATTTAGGTACTGATCTTCCAATAGCTATTCCAGGCGTCGAACAAAATATTCCGAAATTGGCCCTGAATATCACAAAATTTGGTTAAGTAAACTATATCATAATTTTTTGTGTTATTAATATTAAATAAAATTTAAATACCCCGGTGTAGAAAATTTGCTTGTGTCTGAACATATGATCATGTCACATGTGGCAACCAATTGACATCCAGCAGCTGTAGCAAAACCATTAACCTGTAAGAATTTAAAATTAAAAGTTTTGTACAACCGACTTCAATATTTATTTATTTGGTTCATCAACAAATGTTACACTAATTTTTAAATGCTTTTCTCATGTCACTTCATTTGTCTTATTAAATACAGATCCAGTAGAAGTGAAAAGCACACTTATGACCTTAATTCAAATAGCGCAACAGGATGGGATAACATATCGACTAATTTTCTTAAGAAGTCTAAAAATATTGTCGCTACTGCAGTTAGTAATTTAATAAACTTAAGCTTCGAAAAGGGTATATTTCCGGAGGCCTTAAAAATCTATAATCACACCCGTTTATAAGAGTGGGAAACAGAGATGAAGTAACAAATTACAGACCAATATCGCTATTAACGTAAATTTCAAAAAATATTTAGAAAATATTAAATAAAAGACTAGTAATTTATTATAAGTTAATAGTATAATTAATAAATTCAACTTAATTTCAAAGTCACAGTATGGTATTCGTCACGGCTTATCCACTGAACATGCTGTTGGGGATCTTACTAAAGTCAAGTAAAGGAAAACGATAAAAAAATGTATAACAGTATTTTTGGATTTAGAGAAAGCTTTTGATAGTTTCCGTACCCATAATGCTAAAAAGACTAGAAAGCATTGGTTTAAGGTGTAAAACTCTCTCTCTCTTTTTGGTAGCTACCTTAGAAACAGAAAACAGTCGGTAAAAATTGGAACAACTGTAAGTAAAACTGTAACTGTCAACTATGGAGTCCCCCAAGGAGTTGTGATGGGCCCAACTCTATTTTTGATATACATTAATGAACTATGTAATATGAAACTTTATAATGGGCAGATTTTTTTCCTATGCAGACGACACAGCTATTGTATTTACAGAAGATACATGGGACTCTGTAAGGAAAACAGCAGAATTAGATCTTGCTAGGATGGTGAATTGGTTCAATCAGAATTTACTTACGTTGAATATATCTAAAACTAAATATATTTGCTTTACCATGTACAACAGCACTCAACCTACATCTAATTTTCAAATTAAAATTCACGAATGATCTGTCGTCCAAAGCTCTTGTTGTAACTGCTCTCAAATATAAAGTATCTAGGAGTAATGGTTAACCAAAAACTGTCTTGGTATTCACACCTAGAATTAATGGCAACCCGGCTCAGGAAACTTATTTGGATATTTAAGTCACTACGACATGTCTCCACGAAATCCTTACTTAATAAAATATACATAGCTCTGGTTCAGTCAACGGTAGGCTACTGTATTCCTATATGGGGTGGTGCAGCAAAAACCAGGTTCCTTGAGCTTGAAAGAGCTCAACGGTGCTTAATTAAAGTCATGTTCTTAAAGCCCTATAGATTCTCTACAACTGAACTCTATGAATTGAATAATTTACTTTCGCTAAGAAAACTACATTTTAGCAACAGTTTTAAAACTTCATTTTTTTATAGGATCGGGTGACAAACGAGCACACAGTCCACCTGATGGTAAGTGGTTGCTGTGGCCCATAGACATCTACATTTATCCTCGTTTGCGAATCAAAATGCAGATGCGTTGTCACTCCGGTTCTCTACACGCACCATACGAAACACAGCAGTGTTAAACTGCTATTTTACGCTGGTATTCTGTGAGAGCGTGGTCCTTCCCCGGTCGAGCCGACCCATTCGTGCTACAACTACACTATTAATATAGCTGCAGCATGGCTCTACCACGTATAAAAATATAATAATAGTTCCCTAAAATCACGTCATCAACCACTAGACGTAGAAAATATACAGTACCCTACGAAGATTTATTTAAGACTAAGTTTGCATCAAGACAGTATACAAGACTTTCAATTTACTTATATAATAAAATAAACCAAAAAAAAAAACAATATTTACCCTATCAATTACCATGACTGTAAAAAAACCGTAGCAGACTAGTTAAGAAAACTTACCTATGAAGAAACTGAATCCCTTCTCGAAAACAGTGCCTTATAAATTTTTACACTTACAGACTTCTTACACTCATCCATAGACACACACACACACATTCTTGCACACAATCACGTTAAGGACGCGTTTACAAAATTGATAGGTATAGAATCGAACTAATACATTGACACTGGTCACACACAAGTGTACGCACGGTTAGCTGCGGGAATCGCAATCAAGTATAAACATTTTGATAATTTGAAAGATTGTTTTTTTTTTCATATTTCTTATTACCTACAAAAATATACTTAGATACGAAATATAAATGGCTGCTCCAGAGACAGCTAGGTACTAGGCTGTGGACTTTGAGCTGGTTTTGTTAGATATGATAACTTCAGCTCCGAATTTGGTGAAGTGACTTGAAGGTATACTTGGGAGACTGCTACTGGAAGTCCGGGACGAGTAGTACCATGTGTGCCGAGTTTGGGCTCATTGTGTTAGTTATGATGAGACCTTACCTCCGGACTTGACAGAATGACCTGATGGTGTACGTTGGTGACTATTACTGCAACTCCTGGACGAGTAGAAATAGGTGTGCCGAGTTTGGGCTCGTTTTGTTAGTTATGACGAGATCTTACCTCCGGGATTGATGAAAGACCTGATAGTGTACTTCAGTGACTACTACTGGAACTCCTGGGCGAGTAGAACTAGGTGTGCCGAGTTAGGGCTCATTATGTTAGTTATGACGAGACCTTACCTCCGGACTTGATGGAATGACCTGAAGGTGTACTTCGGTAACTGCTAGTGGAACTCCTGGACGAGTAGAACTAGGTATGCCAAGTTTGGGCTCGTTTTGTTAGTTACGATGAAACCTTACCTCCGGACTTGACAGAATGACCTGATGGTGTACGTTGGTGACTACTACTGCAACTCCTGGACGAGTAAAACTAGGTATGCGTAGTTTGGGCTCGTTTTGTTAGTTACGATGAGACCTTACCTCCGGACTTGACAGAATGACCTGATGGTGTACGTTGGTGACTACTACTGCAACTCCTGGACGAGTAAAACTAGGTATGCGTAGTTTGGGCTCGTTTTGTTAGTTACGATGAGACCTTACCTCCGGACTTGACAGAATGACCTGATGGTGTACGTTGGTGACTACTACTGCAACTCCTGGACGAGTAAAACTAGGTATGCTTAGTTTGGGCTCGTTTTGTTAGTTACGATGAGACCTTACCTCCGGACTTGACAGAATGACCTGATGGTGTACGTTGGTGACTACTACTGCAACTCCTGGACGAGTAAAACTAGGTATGCGTAGTTTGGGCTCGTTTTGTTAGTTACGATGAGACCTTACCTCCGGACTTGACAGAATGACCTGATGGTGTACGTTGGTGACTACTACTGCAACTCCTGGACGAGTAGAACTAGGTGTGCCGAGTTTGGGCTAGTTTTGTTAGTTATGACGAGATCTTACCTCCGGAACTGATGAGAGACCTGATGGTGTACTTCAGTGACTACTACTGGAACTCCTGGGCGAGTAGAACTAGGTGTGCAGAGTTAGGGCTCATTATGTTAGTCATGACGAGACTTTACCTCCGGACTTGATGGAATAACCTGAAGGTGTACTTCGGTAACTGCTAGTGGAACTCCTGGACGAGTAGAACTAGGTATGCCAAGTTTGGGCTCGTTTTGTTAGTTACGATGAAATCTTACCTCCGGACTTGACAGAATGACCTAGGTTGTGCAAGCGGGAGTTTTTCTAGAGATATACGTCATGTAGGTAGATGGTTATTTTTACGTAATCGGTTAATTATCGTTGTCGGATAGTTGTAGTGGATTACTTATCGAAGGGTCGATTTCCGAGCTAGGCATTTTTTGTTGATCGACCGTGATGTGTATCTTCGTTTGTATTGTAATTTGTATTTGAACTAAAGAGTAGTAATTGTATTTGCGCAATTTGAATTTAACTTGATTTGATCGCACTAGTATTTGTTATTTGTTAATTTGATTTGTGTCTTTTCTTTTGTGCTAACTTGTATTTGGTTGATACGTAGTAATTCGTATTAGTGCGATCTCTATTCAACGCGATTAGATAGGAACTGCATTTATAAACTGTTAATTTTTTAGTGTATTTTTTATTTGTTATCTTTGTAATTTGTGCTCGAGCCGCGTCGTAATTTATATTTAATAGTGATGCCATCGCCCAAGCTACTGATCCGTTGTCTGCGGACTGTGTTGCGCTGGGCCACAAGCGCCCATGTTTTGATGGGTCGACCAGATAGGGTCCATAACTTGATGAAGCGGTTCGAGCAGGTGGATGCTCGAAGGGCCGCAGTGGAGGAGGCTTACGCTGAGCTCGAGGATTCGGATGTGGAGAAGGGAGTCCTGGACTCCTGCTTTGCGGACTATGAGCAGTTCTTGTGGCTCACGGACGAGTTGATCGAGGCTGAAGGCAGGTATGCCGAGGAGGCGCGTGAAGCTCGGATGAACCTGCCCGAGTCCTCCCTGAAGCAGCTTCAGCCGGAGCTGTTGGGACAACTCCCAACTCTGGACCTGCCAAAGTTCTCCGGGGTCCTTTCCGAATGGCTGACCTTCGCTGGTCTTTTCGACAGCCTAGTGGACGCCCGGAGTGACTTGACCCCGAGACAAAAGATGGCGTACCTCCTGGCCTCACTGGAGGGGGAAGCCCTGGGCGTCGTCGGCCACTTGAGATTGTCTGACGACGCCTACCAGACTGCTCGGGACCTCCTGGCCAGAAGATACGCCAACGTCCGGCGAATTGCGGACGAGCATGTTAAGCAGCTTCTAAGCCTCCCGCTGCTTAGTGACCGGGCCAGACTACGTCCGGACCTGTTGGATCCAGTCATGGCGGCCTGTAATACGTTGAGGCGGCTGGAATTACCAGTGGGCGAATGGGCTTTTTTGTTGCTCCGCATCGTGCTGTCCCGTCTACCTCTCGACCTTCGAATCCATTTTGAGGAGAGGTACGGCGGGGACGAGGCCTCCTATATTCCGCCCTTCTATGACCTGCTGCGGTTTTTGGAGGAGCAGTGCCGGCAGATCGAGAACGCGGCGGGCACCGTTGACGACTTACGAGACGTGCCCAGTGAGAGGCTGAATCCTCCAGGCAAGTCGTCGTCAACCCCCCCCCCCCCCTGCTCCTATTGTCGAGCGTCTGATCGTCGGGTAACGTCGTGCCCGAAATTATTAGGTAAGCTGGTTTCGGCGAGGCGAACTATCGCCAAGGAGCGCCGCTGGTGCTGTTCATGTCTGGGAGGGCACCTCCAGCGAGACTGTCCGCATCGACGGCCCTGTCTGCATTGCCAGGGCAATCACCATGCAGTTTTGTGCCTGGGTGCGAACGGCGTCTCCTCTCGGAGCTCTGCCAGGCCCTCGACCCCCACGGGCGGGGGCGCTCAGCCACGCCCTCTGCTGGGCGACAATCGGCGCTCGCCGGCCAGCCACCAGGCCCCTAAGTTTGAAAGCGGCCCCTCCTCCGACCAGTTGGGGGGTAATTCCCCCAGGGGCGGGGGTGTCATCACCCCCCCTCAGCGTGTGGAGAGGAACTTCACGGCCACTCATCGGTCCGCTGGACCCTTCTCACTTCCGTTAGCTGAGTGGCCGCGACTGGTGTACCACTGTTCCCCATTTGATGGAGGCGGCCCTGTCTAACTGCCGCCTTAGCTCCCACCACGGCCGCCTCCACTGAGCCTTAAGCCGTCAACAGTCCACTTGTCAAAATGTTCTGTTGCCGACGGCCTCAGTGAAGGCGTACAACCCGAGTGGCAACTGTTAGAGGTTGTGCTCTATTTATCTCGGGTTCACGCCATGTGGCCTCCCCGCTTGGTGGTGGGAAGATTAGGGCCCCCCTGGAGCGTTGAATCACGCTGTCAAGGGGTATTAGATTTGGTTTGGTCGAGCACTTAGTTAAAAAATACTTTGAATTAAAATTAAAAAATGCTTTGAGCTTTCCGCGAAATTTTCCTATTTGTAGCGGTTTAAATTAAAAGAATTGAATTTAATCTACTCTTTTAAATGCTACTGCATGTGTTTTGTACATATATTTAATCACTGCATTTGATTGTTTCGTCTGTTTGCTGAAAGGAAAATTTGAATTCATTTGAAATTGAATGGCGCACTATTTGAAAAATTATCTATATGTTTATGATAGTGTTTAATCATTTTGCTTTGCGAAGAAGTAGGGCTGTCCCTTACGTTATTGTTTTGTTTAATTTGCAAGTTGACCTATGCGCATCGGTGATTAATTTGGTTGAATTAATTCTGTAGCTGAACATTGATGCTTTTGAAAAATTAGTTGAAATATGAGCATAGGACTACTTGCCTAACAGGCTAGCTAGTTTTGGAGATTATCTGATTGAAATCAGCTGCCGCGCTAGTTTAGTAAATGATAATATGGTGGGTGGCCTGGCTAGGCCTACTTGTTGAAAATTCATACTAGGGACTATCTGTGCGTTTCGTTCGGCTCTCCACAAACGACGTTCAAGTGGAATTTGTGGGTGCGCTCTGCACTGAAGCAACTGCTGGCACAAAATTTGTCTGGGCATCTTCGTGTAACGTCGCTGTTTGCAGAGCTGATCCGGTCGGATTGCGGAACTAATCATAGGGGCACAGATAGGTGTTTGAAAGAGGTCGTCGGACTTCTGTCCAGTACAGGACTGGTTAAGGTGCTGCGATGCCCAGGGGCATCCAGTGGAGGCTGACCCTCCGGCTTGCCACATTAGGGCTATCTTTTGAGGCGTTGGTTAGGGTTGCAAGATCTGATGGGTTGCCTAAGGTGGCCTAGTTTGGTTGTAGATTCAGTCTTGCAACTTGCAGTCTCGACCTTGTCCCGCTGACCGGTTTGCTCGCGGACCTAAATCCTTATGTCCGGGACGGGGGTTTGTTCGCGCAAAACGCTGTTGTCGGAATCGACGTCTAGGGGGCGCGCGGCTCTGGGCGATACCGGTTTGAAGTTCTTCCGAGCGTGGCAGTGGCGCGCGGGTCGCGAGTGAAAAGTCAGTCGTCCATAAGCGGTGCTAACGATTGGCACGCTGTTTTCTGTTAGGGAACTCGGAATAACTCGGCGCGGCCAGTAAATATACGGTCTATCATTGTGACGCGCATTCCTGCTGGAGAGCTTCCCCGGGACTTATTGGGTCCGACTCAGAATCTGTATAAGTGCATTCGACAATATTAGCTAGTGCGGCCTCTGTATTCTAGAACTAACTGTTGGAACGCGAAACGGTAGTGACCTTTGACCCAGAAAATCCGTGCGCGTTTTGGGCGGTAACCTTATAACCAGCGATAGTTAGTGGCTTCTGTAAGTTAGTTAATCGTACGATAGAGTTAATTGACTGTCAACGTGACGAAAGAAGAAAGTGACGGTGGACAACCTCGGAAGCCCCCTCAAGTTGGAGCGGTATCGACGCTCGGGCTGCTGCCGACGGCCAAGGTCTAGGTTCAATCACCATCAGTCAGACCCAGATACACATCACATCACTTATTTCCCTTTCACTACACAACCACATGTGACCTGAGCGACTCCGGAGGGACCAGTCGCCTTGGATATCGGTAAGTGAACTCCGCCTAATTCCTCTGCCGGTCGACTGGCCGTAGTATAGAACGCTCCCCCATATATTTTAGTGTAATTCGAGAGATTCCACGTGGCCACATTGAGGCCCGACCTACGTTTGCTCGGGAAGTCTTCTGCTCATGGGCCCCAGAGGATTGGATCCTTTAAGGGAGCAGCCGTAGGCCGTAACAATTATACTACCTTAATGCAAGTTTTAAATTGTGTAGCTTTTTTTAAATTCTAATTTAATGTAGTAATATAATTGTACTACGGAAGAGCGGGTCCCTCTGCTACAGGTATCTATTTACTTAAAAGAGAGTACCCAACAATTATGTAACAACTTACTAGGTACTTATTTTAAAGCAATACATTATTATTATTATATAATTCTAAGACAGTAATATAAACTAAGTGCACATTCAATAATAGGTAAACACCGAATGCTTATAATAATAAATTCTTTATTTGGGATAATTAAAAATCCATATGTAGGTTAGTAACACAATAATAATAACAATAACAAGGGTTACTAAAAACAATGGTTTGCTTAAAATCTAGGGAAATAAAGTAATACCCTGTGCCGAGACAGACCATCATAGGGGTGGATAGGGCCCAGTGATCAGTCTCTGCACAAGACATTTCCACAGCGACGATGTATATCTGTCCGCTACGGTCCTCAGAATGCTGCTGTGATTGGCTTGTACCCTGCTATAATAAGGGATGCGGTTTTTTTTGGTATAATGGCATTAAATCCATCTGCTTGGTATGTCGCAAACATCCCTGATGCACTACAAAAACGAGGCAGTCCCAACAGCATCCTGAATATATTATTATATTGGATGCGCAGGCCTTTAAGCGATCTTTTGGTGTATTTGGCCCACATGCTCCCCGTGTATACGCTCGCGCAGTATGCTTTAAAAAGCGTAATCTTGTTTTGTACAAAAGGAAAACCTGCGATGTCAACATATTACCTCTAATCGCTAGAGCCCTGCGCTCACTTTCAATTTCAGCATCATTTTTGGGGTCACCAGTAATAATATGTCCCAGATATATATAAATTTAGTGACACGTTTCACGTTCATGCCATTAAGGGTAACGTTATATGCAATATTGTGACATTTACCAGCTATCTCAAAGACCATGTACTCTGTTTTTTTGACATTGTATGTGAGCCCATGTTCAGTAGCATACATCTCACATACTTTTAACATTTCTCTTAGGCCTCCCACCGTTGGGCTGAGCAGCACTATATCGTCAGCGTAACTTATATTATTAATGCTAACGCCATCTATGCGACATCCGACGCGCATGCTGTTCAACTCCACGATAAGGTCATTCACATACATGGTGAAGAGCTTGGGAGACGTCAACCCCCCCCCCCCCCCCGTCTCACCCCGCACTCCAACACGTATCCTTCCGACAGAGAATCAGCCCACTTTACAAAGTTGGTTTGGTTGGGATATCAAAACCTAAACATTTCCAGCATCTCAGCCGGTACACCCCTTCCCGCCATTCTTCTCCAAAGTACCTCATAGGACACAAGGTCAAAGGCCTTGGAGAGGTCAAGGAAACAGGCGTACACCGACGTCCTGCGATCTGTGTAGTATTGGATAGTGTGAAACACACACTGTCCATCATCTTAGCAATTGTTGTTGCAAGTGATATAGGGCGGTAGTTCCCCCTGATCGAGATGTCACCGGTCCTGTCCTTAACAATGGGCACTACGATGGTCTTTATAAGGTCACGTGGTAAATAAAAGTGATTTATGCACATTGAGGAGAACAGGGCCAGCACTCTCGGCAGATGAGGCTCCGCATGCCTCAGATGTTCTACACAATTACCGTCATGACCACACAGGGGACTTGCCACAAGTCATTCTTTTTAGCGCCTCTCCAACCTGCTTTGCAGTAACGCGCATTAGTGGCACGTCCCCCTGACATCCGGGCCTAGCACTATTCACAGATACTAAGGCCCCAGTGGGGAATGCACTTTGAAATGTTGAGCAAAAATATTCGGAATATGTACCTGTTATGTCGGTACTTGGATAATAAATGTGATGTGGGTTAATTTAAGTTTTCAATAAACAGTCGTTCCCAGATCTCTGCCTTTTATTGACGCGTAAATTACATTGGCGCAGTCGGTCTAGAAGTTCGATACTTACGTGTAATTCTGTTTGACATAATGCCGATTGGAAAAATAGAACCTTTTAATATCGAAAGCCAAAATTGGGACAGTTACATTCGTCGCGTAAAACAATTTATATTGTAAAATAGTATCGATGACAAGCTAAAAGTAGCTACGCTTTTGACGTTAGTGGGTTCCGAGTGCTATAATCTTATTTGTGATTTGTGTTCACCCGCGGAACCGGAAACAAAGAAGTTCGAAGAATTGGTTACACTTGTCAAAAATCATTTGGAGCCGGAGAGATCTGAAATAGCGGAGCGACACATTTTTCGGCAGCGGACGCAACAGCAGGGAGAAAGTATCCGTGTTTACCTACATGGCCTAAAACACTTGGCTAAAACCTGCAACTTCGGTAATACTCTGGAAGAAAACTTTCGCGATCAGTTCGTGTCGGGTTTATACAGCGAAGAGATGCGGTCAAGATTGTTTGCCGAAAAGAGTATAAACTACAAAAGAGCTGTGGAGTTGGCCACGGCGCTCGAGGCAGCTGAGCGGCATGCGAGCACGGCATGCGCATCGGGCGGCGCGAGCGCTGGCGGAGCTGGCGGGACCGGCGCAACGGCGGCCGGCGGCGAGGGCGGCCTGCACCGGTTCGGCAGCGGCGGAGCGCGCGCACGATCTGCTGCGGCTCCCGTGCCTATGACGGTGACGTCACAGCGTCGGCTTTGTGCGCGTTGCGGTAAGACCGGTCACATAGCCGGTAAGTGTCGTTTTAAAAATTATACATGTGATGCGTGTGGCCAGAAGGGCCATTTAAAAGTAATGTGTCAAGGTAAAAGTGAACTTAAGAGTGCAAAGGAGAACAAAGGTCAGTACTTTTTAAATGATTCGGACTCAAATGATGAGTGTAATTTTTTTAACTTGATTACAAGTAATGACGGTGACGGACCGTACTATGCGAATTTAGTAGTAGAAAAAGTGCCATGTAAATTTGAAATTGACACGGGCAGTAAAATATCGGCTATTTCGAAACATTTTTATGATAAACATTTTAAACATGTACCTATTCAAACTAAGTTGTTATGTCTGAGATCATATACTGGCGACGTTATCGAGACCATCGGTTATATTGTGGTAATGGTTATCTGTGGTTCAAAGTCCGCGATGCTTAAGTTATTTATTATTGAAAACGACGGTCCACCTTTAATGGGCCGTACGTGGATTAAGAAATTGAAAATAGAAATTGTTGAATGTCACAATATTAGCGACTCGGAGTCGGTAGCAAAAGCTTTGAGAGACGAATTCCCTGAAGTGTTTGCAGAAGGTTTAGGTACATTCAAGTCACCTGTATCGCTGCACCTCAAGGTTGAAACTCCTGTGTTTGTGAAAGCGCGGCCGCTGCCATTGGCACTGCGCCCGCGAGTCGAAAGCGAACTCAAACGATTAGAATACGAAGGGGTTATTTACAAAGTCGAAAGGTCAGAATACGGTACGCCTATTGTCCCTGTTCTTAAGTCCAATGGCTCAATCAGGATATGTGGGGATTATAAAATAACCATAAATCCGATTTTAAAAGATTTTCATTATCCTTTACCGCGGATTGAAGAACTTTTTGCGACCTTGGGGGGCGGCGAACAGTACACAAAGCTTAATTTATCAAATGCGTTCCAACAATGTTTATTGGATAAAAAATCACAGCCGCTGACAGCAATTACCACTCATATCGGGACGTTCATTTACAAAAGAGTACCTTTTGGAATAAAATGTATTCCTGAAAATTTTCAAAAGATTATGGAGGAAACATTGAGTGGTTTGCCTTCAACGGCTGTATTTGCAGATGACATATGTGTAACTGGAAAGGATAAAATTTGAGTTAGTGTCAGTCAGTGTTAGAAAGGTTAAAACAAAATGGATTAAGAATTAATTTCAATAAATGTCAATTCTTTCAGGATTGTGTAACGTATTTAGGGTATAAAATTGATAAGGACGGCTTGCATACAGATTCTAACAAAATTAAAGCGATTATGGCAGCCCCCTCTCCAATAAATGTAACTCAATTAAAAAGTTTTATGGGCCTTGTTAATTTTTACTCAAAGTTTTGTTCAAATATAAGTGAGATAATGAAACCGTTGTACAACTTATTACAAAAAAATGTTAAATGGCAATGGAATGATGAGTGTGAGGTTGCTTTTTGTCGAATGAAAAAAGTATTGAGCAGTGCACCAGTATTGGCACACTACGATCCTACTCTGCCGTTGGTGTTATCAGTGGACAGCAGCGCATACGGACTGGGCGCCGTGCTCGCTCAGCGGTACGCAGACGGCAGTGAGCGACCCGTGTGCTGCGCGTCGCGTACACTTAACGCCGCCGAGCAAAATTACTCGCAGCTGGACAAGGAGGCACTCGCAATTGTGTTCGGTGTGCGCAAGCACCACCAATATTTATACGGGCGACAGTTTATTTTACGTAGTGATCATCGTCCATTGAGTTACATCTTAGGGCCGAATAAAGGAATACCTGTGACAGCCGCAAGTAGACTACAGCGTTATGCCGTTCAGCTATCTGCTTATAATTTTAAAATCGAATTTATTAAATCAGTTCAAAATTGTCACGCCGATGCGCTTTCTCGTCTTCCTCTGAATCCTACTAGAAACAGAGTCAAATGTGAGGACAGCGACTGTAGTTACCTTAATTTTGTGCAAGAAAATTTTCCACTTAGTTTTAAAGACATTAAAATTGAGACGGCAAAAGATTCTTTATTGAGTAAAATATATGGTTACGTAATGTTCGGGTGGCCAAAAACTAGTAATATTGAAACTGAAAAAGCATATTTTAATCGTAAGGAAAATATTTGTGTGGATCAAGGTTGCCTAATTTGGGGTTACCGGGTAATAATTCCCAAATCATTACGATTGTCAATTTTGAAAGAAATTCACGACGGCCACCCAGGCATCGTAAAAATGAAGCAAATAGCGCGAAATTATGTCTGGTGGGAAACATTAGACGTTGATATCGAGCGAACAGTACAGGAATGCGTCGCATGCCGGTCGCAGCGCTCAGCTCCCGCCCCGGCTCTCCTGCACTCCTGGCCGTGGCCGGAGGAACCATGGGCTCGATTAAATTTAGACTTTTTAGGGCCATTTAATAATAAGTATTATTTAGTTATTGTCGATGCTTATACAAAATGGATCGAGGTTGACCATGTTTCTGGTACGTCCGCTGCGGTGGTAATAGATTGTTTACGAAAAAAATTTGCGCGTTTTGGCTTACCTAAAAGAATTGTTAGCGACAATGGACCACCTTTCTCCTCGGCAGAATTTAAAAAATATTTGGACATTAACGGTATTCGCCATACCCTAGTTGCACCATATCACCCATCGAGCAATGGGGCGGCTGAAAATGCCGTGAAAATGGTTAAGAGGGCATTAAAAAAGGCCCAAGTTGATAATGAAAATGTTAATACGGCACTCAGTAAATTTCTTTTCTCATATAGAAACACTGAACATAGTACCACTGGGTGCGAGCCCGCAATGCTTATGTTCGGACGACGGTTGCGTGGTCGACTGGACCTGCTGCGGCCTGACACACGAGACTTGGTGCGACAGCGGCAGGAGATTAGTGAGCAGCGACGGGACACCGCTCTGCGGGTGGCTGAGCCCCAAGATTCCGTGCTATTACGGGACTATTCTCAAAACCGGGGAAAGTGGACTGAAGGGACGGTGGTACGTCGAGAAAGTCCAGTTTCGTATACAGTAAAGTCTCAAGATGGTCGTGTACACAAGAGACACATTGATCAAATCTTAACAACTAAACATCCAAAGTCTCGATTTTCATTGTCAAAGGTGGAAGAGGAGGCGTATGACATAACTGATACAGAGTCAATGGCGAAGCCTGACACTGATCAGGACGATCAAGTCGCAGAAGAATGGCAACTGGCACAGGAGTCGCCTCCCTCGAGAACCGTGTCTGAAAGACGTGACGACAACACCAACAGACAACAAGCGACGACACCGAAGAATCGTGTATATAGAAAGGCTGCATTACGCTGCATAGACAAATTAAAAGAGATGTAAAGATATTTTATGGTTTGTTTTCATACATCACACTCATCATTGCACAGCTACTAATAAGGAGTGAAACACATGTTGCAACTATCGATGTTTAATATAGATAGATATAAATATAAGTTTATCTGATGTATTATATTGGCATCTCGTTCATATAAATATGTATAGGTATATATTATATAACTAGTTACTGTACCATCATTCATCAACCATGCTTAGTGAATTTAATGGTGTTTCCTTTACACATTGTTGTATTGATATTGTAGTTTATTAATATTTACTTAAAAAGGGCATGTCTTTCGTTTGTTTGAGTTAGATTGTTTAAAATATAGGGGGGAAGTGTTATGTCGGTACTTGGATAATAAATGTGATGTGGGTTAATTTAAGTTTTCAATAAACAGTCGTTCCCAGATCTCTGCCTTTTATTGACGCGTACATTACAGTACCCACTCGCTCTTTCCCCCCCACACTCACCGGGAGGCGAGGCCTAACATCTACAGATGGGCAAAGCACCGGGTTAAAACCCGGTGCTTTGGTAAAAACCCAATAAACACCCATAAACACCCAAAAAATTGGGTGTTTATTTAATTTGTGTAAATACTTAAGTAATATTAAAAACAAGTTTTAAAATTTATTTTTATTGATTATAATGATCAATACAACTATAGAAATTTAAAGAAACGTCACCCAATATTAGTTTTCGGTGCTTTCATGTTGTAGTTGACCAACATGTTGGCCTTTTGCTTGCCGTAGATATTTTAAAATTTCCTCATAACACCTCGTGCGCACACTTGGCCGTATATATTTAAATTCTTCAGCCACCAACATTCCAAAATGCTCGTTTCTTTTATCATTTTCTTCATACAATGTTGCGCATTCGGAACAGTTTGTTTCTTCTTTGTTTTTGTAAGTTTTTTTCTCTGTTTGTTCTGGTTTTTTTTTCATTGTGGCTAAACCATATCCGGTCTTTCATGTCGCCTTGGTCTATCGAAAGAAAATACGGAAACGGGTAGCTGGAACTGTGGCCCACTGTACCAGCTAGCCTTTCGTGAGGTCGAGAAGTAGAATAGGTTTTCGAATTTAAGTTAAAAATCGTAAACACCCAAAAATTTGGGTGTTTACTGGGTTTAAACCCAAAACACCGGGTTTTTACCCACCTGGGTTTAAGCCCAGGTGGGTGTATTGCCCATCTGTACTAACATCACATCTCTTGGTAGCCTTCCAAAACTGATTAAAGTTTTTGTCCACCCTATGCTGTGCTAGGCTGTCCATTTTCAAGTGTTCTTGGTTTCGTTGACACCATTTTAACCGACGTTTGAATATTGTACGGGACTCGTTCATTTGATCATAGATCCTTCCAGATGATGGCCTATTATACGACAACCATATCCTAAAGTTAAGCCTGGCAACCCGATGCGCCTCTTGAACATGTTTGTTCCAGCCACAGAGGTATCTGTTTTTACTTGGCTTGTTGCAATATTTTTTCTTATTTTTGCTAGCTGCGTCACTCAAGGCACATACGATGCTGTCATACATTTTGACGGCTCCGTGGCGCAGTGGCTTAGCAATCAGTTGTTGCGCTGGGGGCCGCGGGTTCGAACCCCGCACGGAACAAGTATTTGTATGGCCTACAAATAATTGTTCCGGGTCTGGATGTTTGTCCTTGTGCAATTTATGTTTGTAAACTGCCTCCACAACACAGGAGAAAATCCTAGTGTGGGGATAACGTTTTTTAAAGAAAAAAATAAAAAAAAAATCATAATCGGTTCACCCAGAAAAAAAGTTATGAGGTAACACACATAAAAGAAACATACAGTCGAATTGAGTAACTCCTGTTTGAAGTCGGTAGAAAAAAGAACATACAGTCGAATAGATTACCGTCACCTTTTTGAAAAAGTAAGAGATAAAATTTTTAATTTTAAATTATTTTGGCTCACAAATTGTAATCCTAAGTTTTTGGTTTAGATATGAGCGCCGCGCCGGCGCGCCGCCGTCGCCGTGAGTTCATGTCGACGCGTCGCCGCCGCGTGAAGAACGCGGCGCGCCGTCGCGACGAGTCGCAACTTCCTATCTCGCTCACACGCGCGGCCCGACCGTATTAGTTCGCCTTGTCGCCTCGCCACGCTCATCGCTCACTCAGTCGAGTCGAATATTTCACCGAGTGAACGTGTATTGTTGTGTGGTGTTAACAATGGCAGCAACTTCGATTGTTGCACGTATGGGCCGGCTCAAGCCGCGGTGGTACCACTACCTCACAGAATACCGGCGCGAAGTGGAAGATCTGCTTCTCAAGCTACTCCACTCCTGAGTGCTCAGGCAACCGCACGTATTCTGAGGGGTGGGGGGGCAAAATTCCGCTCAACACAATAACTGCTCAAACTGAGCAACAAGACCAAGGCGACCCCTGCCACATCAGGGCTTTGTGCAACATCAGGGGACTTCACTCGAACCTAAACGCCGTCCACTACCATTTCGAGACGGCGAAGCCGGCCTTGCTCTTTCTGACCGAGACGCAGGTGTCCTCTCCGGCTGATACTTCGTATCCTTCCTACCCGGGGTACAAATTGGAACACTCCTTGTGCCTCGGGCTCGAATTTGCGTATACATCAGAGAGGACATCTGTTCTCGACGCTTCGGCAGTCTTGAAGGACCTGTTCATCGTTTGGCTACGCGTAGACAGCGACGACCATCCGCATGTTTACGGGTGCCTCTATAGATCCCATAGCGGTAATGCCGAAACAGACCCATTCATCGACCACGTCGAAGTGGCTACAGATTCCTTGCTACAGCAGATCATATCATATAGGATTGTAATGCCCACCACGCCGAATGGCTCGGTTCATATTTAACCGATCATGCGGGGAGATCTGTTCATGGTTTTGCCTTGGCATAGGGTCTGACACAACAGGTAACTTCGCCTACGCGGATTCCAGATGTGGAAGATCACATACCTTCCCTGTTGGACCTTTTGCTGACATCTCATTCAGATAGATATCAGGTCTCCGTCCACTCCCCTCTTGGCTCCTCAGATCATTGTCGAGTCCGGAGTATGGTGCCACTCACACTAACATCGCGATTGCATTCTGCAGGCTGGCTAAAAAAGGCGACCGCTCAGACCCGTCTTGCCTATCGCCATCACCTTGTTCTCCAAAATAATGGAATCCATTATAAACTGCCAGCTCATGCGGTATCTTCAGGATCACCAGCTGATTAGTGACCGCCAATACGGTTTTCGTCGGGGTCGGTCAGCTGGTGATCTTCTGATCTACCTGACTCATAGATGGGCGGAGGCATAAGAGTCAGTGGCGGCGCTGTCGTCGCGCCACAAGCGTAACACATCGAAGCCTAAATCGCGCTAACAAAGTTCCGAAGTTAAAGCAGTATATATAGAATAGCTCCGAACTACCACTCGGAGCGTTGGCCGCTCCCCGGGCATAACACCTTGCCCGGCGGGAGATCTCCCTTTTTTCTTCCACCTGCCACAGTGGTGACTACCCCTATGATATGAACACGCAAGTCACGCAACCAATAACCTTCGGAAACTACAACTTCAAACCTTCGTCATCATCCTCAAGTACCGTATTTATTTATTCGCTCCCGAGCAGATATTGTCTGCAGTCTTCACATTCTGCAAAGCCATTTAGCTTTATAAAGGTTCATCGCAGGACTGAAATAATAATGCTTCCTATTCTTTCAAGCTACTGTCTGTGCTACAGTGTTCGGCACGGCTCTGAGCCTTACTGCTCGCCTCTGCTTCACGGCACTCTCGCAGATTACTTGCCTTCTTCTCAACTCACGGCAGACTAACAAGGCAATCCCTGGCACTTGCTCCGGCTCATCGTTCTCACCGGCATCACTTGCAAGTGCGTAGTATGGCTTGCATTACACACCGGCATAACGTTCGCACCGGCGTCACGTGCCCTTACGCACACAGCATGGATTCCCCACCGGCATTAAGGACGCACCGGCAACCGGACTGCACTATCGACCTCCGGGTTGAGCAGGGGGGTGATGTGGCGGCGCTGTAGCCGCGCCACAAGCGAAACACATCGAAGCTTAAATCGCGCTAACAAAGTTCCGAATTTAAAGCAGTATATATAGAATAGCTCCAAACTACCACTCGGAGCGTTGGCCGCTCCCCGGGAGAACACCTTGCCCGGCGGGAAATCTCCCCTTTTCCTTCCACCCGCCACAAGTCCAAGGGGAGGCATTGGCCGTTAGTTTGGACATTGCGAAGGCCTTTCGATCGGGTTTGGCACAAAGCTCTTCTTTCGAAGCTCCCTTTCTATGGGCTTCCCGAGAAATTGTGCAACTGAATTGCCAGCTTTCTTGCAGATCAGAGCATCTCCTCAGTTTCAAGGCACTCCCTTGTTGCCTCAGCCAGTATCAGAATTCTCGGCGTCGACATATCGAGTGACGTGCAAGTTACGTGATCACTTGGAAGAGAAGGCCAAATTGGCCTCTAAAACGCTTTGTGTGCTCAGCAGAGCGGGACAGTATTTCATGCCGGTACACCGACTGCAACTTTACAAGGCGCAGGTTCGGCCTCACATGGAATGTTCCCATCACTGGGTTGGGGCTCCTATTCAAGTAGCTCGATCGCATACACGTGGGAATTTTTTAATTACAAATAATAATAATATTTTAATCTGTTGAGATACGTCCCCTTATTTTTCCTTTCCTAGTCTTGTGTTGAGGCCATATATAAGTGATGGTGTTTTTTTTTTATACCAATGGACATTTTTTACTTTTACCATTCGTTCGCAAATAATCTTCTGTCTTGGGAAGAACCAGCAAGAATCCCAGCGGGACTTTTTTCAAGTAAATTACATATATATATATATATATATATATATATATATATATATATATATATATATATATATGTACAATAAGAAAGTTTGTACAAACTATTTACAAAACTTATTTAAGGAACAGCTGAGGGGCGACCACCTCTTTCCCAGGAGTTAGTATCAACCATGTATTCATTTAATAGTTAGGTAATATCAGTTATAATAAACTAAATGTACCCATGCGCAGACATACTCCCCCCACTGTCGCTCAGCGTTCTTTTTACGTGACGGGACCTGTACTATGGTTATCTGATTCAAACATGAACGGTCAGGAGCTCAGAACTTTCAGGTGCCCTATGTATAGGCCTTATGGCAGAATCGGTAGAGCACTTCAGAACTACGCTCAATGACCTCAATAGTTATTCACAACGGATAGATTCTAAAATGAACGCGCAATATACATCCAATAAAATAAAGAGTACAATATAATGCATTTCGGTGCATACTCGGTCTGCTATGGAGGTATGATGCGTCAGACGTGTTCGCCATTAACAATGTAGGGGATATCCTCACGGTACTTCAGAGTAGTTTCCTACGTTTATAAAAACAATTAACAGTAGTCAATGGTCAGCATAGTCAGAGCCGCATTTTCTGTTTACACCTTATCATATACGTAAGTCCATCTGACAAGAACACTTGTATGCTACCACTAACATTTAACATAACATGATTATTAATATATATTTGTCTGAAATCTAAGACCTTAGGTGTAAAAATGCATCATTTTAGGGTTCCGTACCTCAAAAGGAAAAAACGGAACCCTTATAGAATCACTTTGTTGTCCGTCTCTCTGTCTGTCTGTCTGTCAAGACCCTTTTTTTTAGGAACGCGTGGAGGTATCAATCTGAAATTCATATCAAATACTCAAGTCTAATGTCCCTTGGCGTTCTGAAAAAATCAAACTTCTAAGCCAACGCAATCAAAAGATACAGCCGTTTATGCCGCAAATTTTCGACATTCGCAAGGACATCAAAACCTACAGGGTACTTCCGGTGAACTCAGAATCTTAAAACTTTGTACGAAGCAACGTATTATAGCACAGATTAAGGAAAAATTGCGAAAAGCATAAATTTTTAGTTACATCATATATTAAAAATATTTTTCATAATTTTAAATTTATATACCTACGGATTTGTTCGGAACCCTCGGTGCGCGAGTCCGACTTGCACTTGACCGGTTTTTTTTGAAGTTATTTACAGACAGGAGTCCATGGGCTACAGGAGCCAGTTATTACTATTATTCTAAAATTATCTCTATAGTAAAAAGATATCTTATACCTTAGCTATAACTGGTACTGGACTCTGAATTATAGATTGCATTAATTCTGTTGATTTTCTAAAAATCAATTTGTGCTGTTCTATTCCATCACTGACCTGCTGTAAAAATAGGAAGGAAAAAATGATGATATATAGGTTGTCCCAAAAGTCGACGTCAAGCTGGAATCGGGTGATAGGTCAAGTCATAATAGATAACATCCATTAGGTTTTTTTTACTGCAGAGCCGTCAAAGAAAAAGTTTATTTAAAACCGATTGAAAATGTAGCTAAGAATGAATTTGTAAATAATGGTAGATCCTTCGTCCATCCTTTTTGAGAAGATGCCGAGCATGAATTGCGGGTGAAGGAAGGCAGTTTCAGCATTTGCTGTAAATGTATGGAACATTTGGAACATGAACAAAAAGGATGGACGAAGGATCTACCATTATTTACAAATTCATTCTTAGCTATATTTTCAATCGGTTTTAAATAAACTTTTTCTTTGACGGCTCTGCAGTAAAAAAATCTAATGGATGTTATCTATTATGACTTGACCTATCACCCGATTCCGGCTTGACGTCGACTTCGGGGATACTTGTATATTTTATTTGCATAAATTTTTAATAGTCAAAGTAAGAAATTCATATTTTATAAAACAACTTTTCACTATGCAAGCACGGTAGGCAAGAACCATCAAATGTGTCTGAACTCTACAAAATAAAAAGGCGTCGTTGCCAGCTACGCCAGCACGGATCTAAAAGCATGCCCTTCGCTCCTCTCACACATATTCATATTGTGTGTGTGTTTTTTGGTAAAATTAAAGAGATATATGAACATACAGTCTACCTGATGGACAAAGGCAATAAATGCATTGTCACCTTTGAGGACTAAGATGAAATACATCACAGTCATCAATTATATTGGCTTTCCATAACTTACAGAAACAGTAGTGTATGCACTGCTGCTTGGTAGGAGAAGAAATAAGTAAAAGGGCTACCCAGACAGTCCGAAGCAGAGAAGGACTGTTTAGGGGCCCTATCATCTAAAATTCCTCTAAGATCCTCCAAATATTTTTAATTGTTCAATAAAGCTTTCTCAAAAGTGTTTTCCATAAATGGCTAATAAATAATGGTTATGCACAGCCATTAATTATACTAGTTCTCTGTTGCCTTCAGGCTGGAATACAGCATTGCAAGCACCTACCCAGACAGAGTGCTAGGCAGAAAAAAGATCTACCACCTACTAAATATAGTATATATCAATAATGATGAACAATGAGTGCTTCTGATGATGACAAAGCGCCTCCTACAAGCATCTACCAACCTAGCTCCTTTGCACATAGAGACAACAGATTTGATTTTTATATTATTCAAAGCCAGCGCTTAACTACAATCCCATCTGATGGTAAGTGGCGATGTAGCCTAAGATGGTGAAGCGCACTGTCTTAATAAAAGCCTATTCACTCTTGCCTTGAAGACACCCACACTGTAATCGGATGAAAAGACAGATGCTGGCAACTTATTCCACTCCTTTGCTGTACAACAAACCGTTTGGTACGAATGGGTGGTAAGTCAACAACGAAAGGGTGGAGACTGGCCGAATGTCTGGTTGTCCAATGGTAGAAGGGAGAGGGAGGAATTAAATTATGTAATTCCTATGTACACTCTCCGAAACGCATCCTGTAGAAAACTGAAAGGCTACTTTGTGCCTGTGTTCGAGGCTATTAAGATTGTTTTTAACCAAATTTGGGTCACCAATAAGCCTCTTAGCAGGCCTTTCCATTGAGTCCAAATCTGCTAGGTGGCATTTTGCAGATCCAGACCATATATGGCAGCAATACTCCATGCATGATCGGACTTGCGCTTTATATAAATTATATAAAGTAAGCAGCTGTTCTGGCGTAAAGTATCACCGCCTCTTTGCAAGGACTCCTAGCTTCCTTGCAGCTGCTTTGGCCTTGGACTCAATGAACCGCCCGAAGTTCATATTTATTTGATATCTCAACCCCGAAGAACTGAAGGTGGTCGGTGTATTCCAGTTATACATTTCGAAAAGAAGGAGCCAAGGTGAGTTGGTTCCTTTTTGCAGTGAAGAGACACGCTTGTGTTTTGGAGGCATTGAATTTTTACAAGATTAGCATCGCCCCATTCGTAGACTGCCTGTAGTGTGAGATTCACACACTCTACCATAGCTTCTTTTTCAGACTGGATTTGATCCCGACTGGCCCAAAGACTTGGTTGGTATTTCTCCACAACTGCACTATCGTATGCATACCTATAGATACCGGGCATAAGCAGATCATTAATATGCAGCAGGAAGAGACTTGAGGAGGGAACAGACCCCTGAGGAACACTGGCGTTAGTCGAAGCATTAGTTATGGTGTTAGTCACCAAAGGATCGGATGAGCAGCCATCGACAATGACCCGGAGAGACCGTTCACTCAGAAAGTCCTTTACCCAGACAATCAGACCATGGGGTAAGGGGATAAGCCATATGCTGGAAGCTTACCCAAAAGGCTAGCGTGCCAAACTCTGTCAAAGGCCTTCGAGACATCAAGAGAAACAGCAAGTGCTTCCCCACTGTTATCGAGTGCCCCGCTCCATGTGTGTAGCATACACTAGAAGGTCCCCAGCTGACCGATTTCAGCAAAACCCCTATTGCCGGTCACTAAGGTCATTCTGTTCTGGGTATGCCATTAAGCGGGTATTCAATATACGATCCATAATCTTGCAGAGTATGGAGGTAATTGAGATTGGCAGAGAAGAGAACAGAATTAAAAGAATATTATGATTAATTTCTTTTTGTAGCTTAAATATGACTAGACTTGACTAGACTTGTTTTATGTTATAAATTACTTACATACCCATTATTATAATATATATGTTACTTCAAATTTTCAGTTTGACGTTTAAATTTATCTACCCCCTATGAAGGATATAGTAGATAAATTACTTGAAATCAATTGTTTAGCATTAATTTCTCTTATACAATTACTTATGATATATTATTCTAAACATAATAAAAAAAATTATAAATAATAATTTTTAGATTACCAAGTGAAAAATAATTTAAGTGCTTCTTGCTCATGCTTTGAGAACCATGCCAGTGCCTGCAACAGACTGAGGCTCTAAGCTCTTACAATAAATTCACCCTACTTCTAGGTGTTTTTAATAGACTATTTTATTTAAATTATGTAATTCGTTTAATTGGGAATAAATTCACTAAGTCACAAAGTATTCAATAATAGTTTAAGTTTTTTAAGGTTTTTGGTATATTTAATGTATGTTTACTTACTAACTCTTTTAAATTATGTCCTGCTGAAAAGACATTACCCTTTGCTGATAATACAATAGCCCGCAAAGATATATCTTCTTTATTGGCATTTATTGCTTCTATTAAATTGTTCATCATATTTAGTGATAAGGAATTTCTGCGTATTGTAAAAAAGAGGTTAGATGAAAGCTTAAAACTACTTTTAAGACGATATTTAAAAAAAATACTAACTTCGTTTTTTCATCGTGTAAAATAATATTTCGAATTCCATCACTTTCATTAATAATAACACTTTGATTGTGAGTTCTACGTATAAGTAAAGTTAAAGGTCTGATAATTTTTTTCTGTGAAAGAAAACAAACAGTATTTAATTAATTAATCTAATGATTTAGCATTTATTGTATAACAACAACAAAGAATTTGCATAAGTTAAAAAGAGAGGTTATGTTTCTGTACCTGTAATGATAAAAGAATCATGATACTTCCTCTTCCAATCAGGTATTGTACAATTTGCGATATTATAAACTGTTGTAACTATACTCTATTTTGTCTTATTACATAGATATGAGTTAATAGAACAATAAAAGTCAAAAACTGGTTTTGATATTATTTTTATTTACAAATACAGTACCATAGACTAAACATTATATACAACATAGAGATATCTAAGTCAGTGATATACAATGATACAAGCATAGAGATAACAGCTGTAAGTGACAGGTGACAGATTGACAGATGTAGATAAAATACAAGGTATATTACGTAGAGGGTTTATTTCACACTCTCTCTCTCTCTCTATATATATATATATATATATATATATATATATATACCTACGACGACTCGACCTGGCAACTTATAACGCACGTACCCTTAGGACTGATGAGAAGATCCTGGAGCTGGAAAAAGAAATAGAAAAGTTGCGCTGGAGTATCATAGGATTATCCGAGGTCCGAAGAGAGGGGGAGGACATGGTAACCCTCGAATCCGGAAACTTGTATCACCGGGATGGCGACCATCTGTCTCAAGAAAGTGTTGGATTTATCGGCCACAAGTCTCTCGTTAACAAGGTTGTAAAGATTGGGAGTGTGTCGACGAGGGTTGCGTCCTTTACTCAGAATCACCAAACGGTATTCGCTGAAGGTCGTACAGGTTTACGCACCAATCTCGGCACACCCCGATGAGGAGGTGGATGAAATGTATGAGGGTATCTCTAGAGCCATACATTCCTCCAAAATTCACTATACGGTGTTAACGGGAGACTTCAACGCAAAACTAGACACAAGAGAGAACGGTGAGCTCAAACTAGGGAAATTCGGAATAAGGCAACGGAACCGAAGGTGCCAGCAGCAGGCCGACTTCATGGAGAAAGAGGGATAACCCTTTCGAACCTGACCGAAACCTGATTGTGCGTCTTACTTTAAAAAAAATATTAAAATATTCAAATGTCTATTTCACTGCGCCATACCGGGCTGCATGAATCATGCCCCTAACAAACGACCGTTTTATATAATAACCGTTACAGTAATACAGTTTTTGAAGTTTATTTGGCCTTCGACGCGATGGCTGCGTTTCGCGATCCTGCTACTGGTTTTTGTAAGTACATTAGTATTGTATTACATATTGTTTTTTCCTTTATAAATTTATTAATTTTAGTTAGTCGAGTTTCTGATCAAATGTTTACAAATAATTTGCACGTTAGTAAATATTGTTTAAGGCGTTATTTTTCTTCGAAAATATTAGATAGCACAATGGGTCTGGCCACCCAATTTTGATAAGGGTATCAAAATATTGTATAAAAAATTACGAATTCAACGGTATTCTTATTTTTTTTCTACCTTTAAAAATGACTGAAATAGTGATGAGTAAAATGGTGTTTTACGGTAAGGGCGACCGCTTTGCTCCGCATTGCGATGTGACGTTACAAAACGGCACGTCGATGCCACCAGTAGTCTTTATTGTTATATTTAAAAAAAAACACTAGTAATGCTATTAAGCATTACTAATATTCCCTTTAACCACTTCTAGTAAGCTTAAAATGATTGTGTTACAAGTGGTTCACGACAGTAGTCGAATGGCGGATTCGAACCCACGACCTTTCGAGTTCGCGGTCCGCGCCCTGCCATTAGGCTACTGACGCTAAATTTTTCTTATTCTGTCCATATCTATTACTCCATATTTTTCTTGTCATGTTATTTATTCATCAGTAACCTTTATTTCCTGTTTTTTTTTTTTAATTTCTGTTATATCACGCTCCTTGGGAATAAAATGGTGTCCTAAGATACAGGTTTTACCTAGTTTAGGCACCAATTTTTCACCTAACAACAGTATTGTATCAGATGTAAGCACATATTTTTTGTTTTCCGAATGTATATTGTTGGTGAAAATAAATAAATAAATAAAATAAAATATAAATAAATTTAATTTTACTGGAAAAAAATCATATAAAAGCTAAATGTTCAATACTTTAGTTTATACATCAAATCAAATAGTTTATTTGTGATTCACAGTTTACATAAAGGTCTTATTTAAACACAAATAAAGTTCAGTCTGTGATCAGCCTCATGGGCATCATCATCATCATCATCATCATTACAGCCCTTCATAAGTCCACTGCTAAACATAGACCTCCCTCAAGGAATGCTACAAAGTACGGTCCTGAGCCACCTGCCGGTAGAGCCATGCTGCAGCTATATTTGTAGTATAGTTGTAGCACGAATGGGTCGGCTCGACCGGGGAAGGACCACGCTCTCACAGAAAACCAGCGTAAAATAGCAGCTTAACTCTGCTGTGTTTCGTATGGTGAGTATAGAGAACCGGAGACCCTTTTTACTGGCAAAGAGGCATTCCATCTTAGTCCTCACGGGTGACAACGCATCTGCATCTTGAGTCTTTATTGATGATAGATGTAGATGTCTATGGGTCACAGTAACCACTTACCATCAAGTGGACTGTGTGCTCGTTTGTCACCCTATCCTATAAAAAAAAACCTGCATCCATCGACTTCCTGCATGTCTTACCAGGTCGTCACTCTATCTAGTGGGTGGTTGCCCTACATTTCGCCTACCGGTACGGGACTGCCACTCGAGAACCTTTCTTCCCCATCGGTTGTCGGTTCTTCGAGCTATATGGCCGGCCCACTGCCACTTCAGCTTACTAATCCGTTGGGATATGTCGGTTACTCTGGTTCTACTGCGGATATCCTCATTTCTAAGTTTATCACGCAGAGAAACCCCGAGCATAGCCCTCTCCATAACTCGCTGAGCGACCTTGAGCTTCCTTATACGGCCAGCAGTGAAGGACCAGGTCTCAGATCCGTAAGTCATCACTGGCAACTCGCACTGGTTGTACAATTTCGTTTTTAGGTTTTGAGGTATGTCTAACGAGAAGATGTGTCGTAGTTTCCCGAACGCTGCCCAGCCGAGTTGAATCCTCATGGGCATACAAATGTCAAATACTATTAATAGTTCATTGATTACATTATTCATAATAATAGATTAGATTATTAGATTAATTTATTCATCATAAATAATATTGATTACATTGGATTAGATTAGATTATTCATAAATTATTAGTTCAAAATTATTATATAAGGTTTATTATAAGTATTATGTCATCTAATACAGTCAACCGGACATTAACTCTGACATTCGATATAATATGTAGGTAAACGACTGTATACTTCTGAGCGCGCGGTTAGTACTGAACTTAGCAAGTTCCTACTGCACGTTCGCTCTCTCGGATTGTGACGTCACGTCACAGAGAACGAGCGGGTATAAATTAAAAAACATTGCGAAACTTCAAAACTTTATAACTTTCGTATTTCTGCACCAATTTGGATGAAACAAAAACTATTGTTATTTTCATAAACATAGCTTTAAAGCTATATAGATTTTATTGTCAAATTAGAACATGTTGGTGTGACCCATTGTGCTATGCGGGGTTTAATTATAGTAACGCATGTTTTTGCTTATGGTTAAATAACCGTTTTATTTAATATTTTTAGGAGTTCTTTTGGACAACAACAAAATATTGGATCTACTGCATGATGGAAATAATTCCGACCTAGATATTTCGGACTTTGAATGTGATGAAAACAGTCCAGAACAGCCATCATTACCAGCTCAGCAGTTTGAAGACCAAAATGTAGCGTCTCCGCCACAAGAATCATCCACATCCACGCGAGCAGGAAGACAACGAACTTTACCTTTACGTAGACGAATTTGGAAAAATTATTACTATATTGATAAAACCCCATGATTATTCTGGGCATCTAGAACCTGCAAAAATCCGTTCTCCAAATGAGTATTTTCGTGATTATTTTGACGAAACATTTTTTGAAAATGCTGCTCTTTGCACCAACATGTATTACATACAAAACACTGGACGGGTTCTTAGTACCAGTAGCCAAGAAATAAAGAAACTGATCGGCATGCATCTAATAATGGGCATACATCCAAGAATTACAATGTACTGGCGTAAACATATACAAGTGGAAATGATAGCCACAGCTATACCTAGGGACAGGTTTACAACTTTAAGAAACGCTTTACATGTTGTTCCATCTGATACTCCACTGGCTGGTCGAAGGAAACCACTTTGGAACAACCTGTAATTTACATTATAAAACATGCATGTAACAAAATTGAAAGGTGTCGAGGAAGATTTTCCGTCGATGAGCAAATAATACCATTTACAGGTAAATATGAGCTTTGACAATTAGTAAAAAACAAATCACGAACTGTCGGCCTCAAAAATTTTGTTGTTACTACAAGTGATGGATTAATGCTTGATTTTAAGATATATTACGCAGGTAATTCTGCTTTCTCAGACAGATCTTTAGGACTTGTACCAGCTATCATTTTACGTTTAGCACAAGCGGTGCCGCCAACTTGCCTGTATTTAGATCGGTATTTTTCATCGATACCCCTGTTGGAAACATTATCGAAACAGAACCTGCATGGTACGGGAACGATTATGCTTAATCGTATACCCGATCGTGTTCACATAAATTTTAAAGAGGACAGGAAAATGTAGCGAGGGGAAGTTGACCAACGGGTTCTTGACGACAGCATTATTAGTCAAGTGGAAAGCCAGTAAATGTGTCGTTATGGTATCCAACTGCAATGGACCTTGAAAGTGATTCATTTTCTAGATCTAGCTGTAGTAAATTCCTGGAGATTGTACAAATGTCATTCTTTGGCAAAAGGTGTGAGAAATAATAAGATAATGGATCTCATAGCTTTTAGGTTTGAAATTGAAGTCATTGCTATTTGTACCGGACAGAAATAGACGTGAGGCAACTCCACCCTCCTCTTTGGTTGAACAAGCTTCAGGTATTCGCAGATATCGACTAGGAACACAGCCATCGGAGGGTAAGAGGTACGATGGATATGACCACCTCCCAATCCTAGATGAACATTACGTCTCCTCGTTGTTGTCGCTTAATCTTGTTCCTCAAGAACAAAAGCAGATGCAGAAAATGCAACATTTATTTATGTTTAAGCTGAAGCAATGACTGTTTTTATTTATATATGTATCATTTATTTATATAGAAGGTATATGTATAGGTATATATAATATATCTATACAAATAAATATAATTGAAGTGTCTGTTTGTAACATCAAAATAACAGCT